AGCTAAAAAATAGACATGTATCTACAGTATTATAAGAATCATGTAATCAAAACACACATTACCTGCATCTTTTTCCTTCCTCACAATACAGACGATTCCTCCGCTTCTTTTTGGCGTGTCTCAGTGCGAGGCAAAGCATGTAAGAGACACACTTTGCCTCTCCACATATGCTTAAGATAATGCATTTAATATATTAATATAAAGTCAGCAGTGACCAAGAAAGGTATGAAGTGGCAGCATCCTTCTATGCTAGAAACCTTTTAAACTATATCAAGCTAGGTGGCTAATATGTACTTACATGTAAATGTGTTAGAAAAGTCTATTTAAACACTGTCCTGTAATTATTTTCACGTTGGCTTGAAATGAAATATCTACCTCTGCTGGTACTGCAGTTTGCTGCAACTTAAATATGCATGTCCATTTCACGCTTATATAGACAAAGCGTGACATCCACACGGTGGACTGGCATGTCTATTACACGCTTTGCTGTGATACTGGATTTGGTCGCCTTTCCAACTGTTCTGTAATTACCTTCAGTTTTCTTTCTTTTTTTTTTTGCTTAGACTGTGTTTTATTCAGCTTTCATTATGTTTTATTCACCTTTTCTTTTGTTCGCTGGTGTATTCTTAAGTTTCAGTGCGTTTGACCTCCCAGGGCCACCGTACATATTTCTTTTTTGCAGACACAAGTGACTGTGATTTATTTGAACAGATTTTCTTATTTGATGTGAGCTCTTACTGGATTTTATAGATGGTTCTTCGTCTGTGCGTTATTGAGCTCCAAAGTTTTGCCTTAACGTTCAATGACACACTGTCGTCCTAATAACCACGGGATTCTTGATGTACTCAGATGTTGAATTTGCACAAAGTAGGGAACGTCAATACCAGCGCTCTGTCATTTCTGGATTAATGAAACCAAGCGTGGAGAATCAGCTGGAATTCTTGCATTAGTTAATTCATTATGTATTTGCCTTCATTTTCTTCCAGAGCCTTCACTGTCTGTTAGTCTGAGGATAAACACGAGCCAGTCACATCAGGCCCACACCCTCCCTGTTTATACTGACAATGATGACTTGCCCCTAGCTCTGGCCCCGCCACGGCCATCCACACATGGAACTCATTCTATCTGTGCACAACACCACGAAAGGCTGCCGGATCGCTCCAGCAGCATCATCCTGTAAAACAATCTGTTACTATGGCAACAGGTGCTGTTGGAGACATCCACAATTTAACAAAGAGCAGGAGTTTAAGTGACCAGTCACAGAAAGTTGAGTTTATGGGCAAAGCAGAGCTTTAGGGAATCACAGTAAGGATGACATCAGTGTCCGCACATGCACATGATCTAGAAATAGAGTCACTGTGTTTGTCTTGGCCCGCCTCTCTGCAGTTACTAAGGCTGTGTCAAAATGTGATATGTTGCAGATATCATCTTGCACATGCCAAGAAAACTGTTTAAAAAAAGATTTAATGAGCTTAAGGTATTAATGCGTGTTAAAACTCAATCGGAGCATTCCTGTCAAACTAGTGCTGCAAGATCGCTGAAATGGATTAGTTTGTTTACAAAGGCAACAACTATCAGAGGCGAGAAAAAAAAGAATAGCCTTTGAAAAGCCCTGCGTGGGTGCAACCATACACTCAGAAAAATAAAGGTGCCAACTGGAACCAAAAGTGGTTCTTTAGACTGATGCCATAGAAGAACCTTTTTTGGTGCCACAAAGAACCTTTCAAACAATGGTTCTTTGAAGAACCATTTCTTTCAGTGGTTCATTGAAGAACCTTTAAAGGTGCCCCAAAGAACCATCAAGAAATGGTTCTTTGGGGCACCTTTAATGGTTTTTCAAAGAACCTTTTTAAAAATGGTTCTTTAAAGAACCATTTTAAAAGTGTTAAAAACCATTTAGCCTTTGAGTGGTTCTTTAAAAAACACATTTTAAATCTTTCAAAATAAAATGCATCATAAATTGAATTTGAGTAGGGTAAAATAAATACGAGCACAGCATAGACATATATTAATGGTTTATTGTCATTTTAGTTCAAAGAAAGGTTCCCTCAGAAACTACACTAAAAGACAATAGTTTAAAAGTAAAATGCTACTAAAAATATGTTGAACTATACCTCAGATACAACAATATAGCATTACTGTTAACAGGTTAAGACAGTAGTGATGTTAAATCGGAGTCTAGAATAGTCTACTATTATAACCCTAGAAAATGTCCACCTTATCAGCGTATGTTAAAGTCAGCTCATATAGGTCAACATTGGATAATTAATATGATCATGGACTCAGCATTCGTATCTTGTATATATACGTCAATATTCTAACATGACCATTTTACCTCCCTATTCCATTTACAATACTCGCCTTATCCATGTCATACAAATATATGTCAATGAGATCAACAACCAATTACCATGTTATCAGTGTTATATAGTTTTGTTCTATTACACTTTTACATTCAGCAATGCTTGAGTTAATCCACATTAGTTACAATAGCTGGAATAGTTTCAGTGGAACAGATCCAACGTACCTAATCAAACATTTGTCTATCAGTACGATCTCTATTGTGTTCAGTAAATATACACTTTGCAACAACCTATTTTAGACAGATGCTAAAAGAAAATAGAACTAGCATATACTTGTAATGACTTTCATGATTTTATCATGGTCCTTTAGAGTCCAAAGGTAACTCTCAGGATAAGTCTCTACGTTGTTTCCATACTAGAACCTTTAGTTATCAACTGTAGTAGGCCCGAGCTCTCTCAGTTTTTCAGGATGTTTTCACTGGGTTTCCGTCAGTGGTCAACTACTCAGCGTGACATCAGTATCCACACGCAAGTCCTCTTTAGTCAACCCGTCACTATGAGATCATGACTGTTTACAGGGATCCCGAAAAGTAATATAGAAGAGGATGATGGATTAAGTTTTCGAAACTCCTCTTCCTCGAGGTCTGGAAATCCTCGCATACACGCGTGATCTGTGATGTGACTCCAGTTATGGGTACGTCATCCCGCTCTCGTGCTCAGCACCGAGTACTGTTTAGTGACCCTAAGAACAATCACTGCAGCATTGAATGTTCGATCTCCTGGTCAGCTCTCAGTACTGGATGAAGCCTGGGTCTCCCCTCTCGTCCGTATCTGTTCCTCCAATAGCAAAATCTGGACATGGTACTTATACAGCACAAATTGCATCTGAAGCAGGAGGTGCAGATTTTGTTTTGCTATTCTTTTCTAAATCCAGGCTAGATCACGTGGAGGTATTTGGAAAACTTTTTTGGCCAGGGACGACTGTTGTCTTGCAGAAAGTCAAATCAAACATATGCGATACACAATTAATTCACAAGAACACATTATAAAAAATAAGTCCAGTTCTTGCCTGATTTCAAGTGAAATCTGCATCAAAACAGGGTGACAGAAGTAAAACGAGAGCACAAAGCCTCACTTTGTACAAGCCTGCTATTACAGTTCTCCTCTATGCAGACGACTTTCCTGTTTTCAAGGCACAACTTGGATCTGCTGTACGAATCTTATGGATACACACTAAATGAAACAATAGTGTGCATGACTCCAGATTCTGATCCCTCATCCTAATATGGTCCCAACATAGCAACAGCAATAAAGCAAATGTTGAGGCTTCAAAATACAAAGTCCATAAACCAATGGCTGACATGGGTTTTATCATAAGGGTGATAAATATACAGATTTCAGTCTGTCTTAGAGATTTGATGTTCATTTACCTGCAGATGCACTATACGTACCTGCTCCATGGTTTTTCACAACATTTTGCACATCACTATTTAATACAGGAAGTAGGTGAACTAAAACAAGTCATCTTTCTTTGTGAGAGGACCATATTAATGAAACAAACCTCAATGACATCATAGGGATCCCTAAAGATGCTCCTGCTGCTTCTCTTCCTCCTCATCCTAAGCTTCCTTCTTCTTGTCCTCGCCTTCCATCCAATTGTAATTCAACCTAATTGTGTTTCTCCCCCTCCTCTTCCTCATTTTGTTGGAGCTGTGAACACAATTAATGTGAATCTGGATTAATTTGTGCAAACAAGAAAAATCTACAGCTTTTTGGTCAGAGGTGCTCTTGTGATTTAAGCCGGGTAGAGTAGATTTATGTGTTGATGCTACCTGCTTCAGCTCTGGCTGCTGAGTGATATTTACACCCTGGCTGGATTACAATTAACCATTCTAATTGCCAGCTTACCTGTGTAACGCCCTACTGAACTTTGGCCCAGCGTTGATACCTCTTGTTAGTATAACGACCTCTTCTTAGCTTGTATGTATGATGTATGATGGTGGATAAATGAAATATACAAAAAAATTAACTATAAAAATATTGAAACAAAATGAGACATAATGTACTAGTGAAACTTTGAGGCGTAAGCACTCTATGTCACATCATCATCTATAGCTTGTGGCAAAGCATTCACCATGAGTGCGCGGGTTACCCGCATTCAACTGCATGGTATGAACCTTGTATCCCTAAACTACAGACTGTGAGAAAATTTCACCCAAACGAAAAAAACTAAGTGCTTTTTGAGTTAAGCCCAAAGTCGACCCCCAGCTGTATCTTTTAGGTTTCCCAATAAAGATAGCCTATTCTTCATCCATTACTTCTCTTTTAATAAAGGAATTCATTTTTCAAAAGAACATCACTTCATTCGGTAACTTGAATACGAAGTTTGCTTGTGAACATCAAAGACACATCTTCTGGCATCGTCTAAACACTTCTATTCATTTCTATATAATTCGATTAGACAATAAAGAGTTATCTAATCTAATTATTCATTCAAAACTACTTATGCATAGCTGCTATTTTATACAGCTCATACAGAATTCAAAGTACAGGTTCATGTGAGTATTTAATGTACGGCTCAGATCTACAGGATTTCAGAGTTTCTAGAGCAGACACAGAGCTCACAACAGGCTTCAGGCGCCATTTTAGTGACTTTAACAATATATTAAATTTTAATTTCGGTCTAGCTGACATTAGGTTATGTACGCAGCACGCAATTGAACCACATATTTTAGAAGCCAAAGGTTCAAATTAGCTGGGAGCAGCTTCACTTAATTATAACAGTGGTTTTGTTAGGAAAACAGTTTCTGTATACCGGATACTAAATTGCGCTGACGCTCAACGGCTAACGTATCTAGCTAATCGCTACTGTTAGCACAACATCAACAGCAAGCTACAATGACGAGTAACAAAAACAAAACAGTAATAAGGTTTTAATGAAAATGTTTTACCTTTTCTAACAGTCCCAGAATCCACAGCTTCAAAGTCCAGCAGGTACTGAAGACTGTTATCCGTTTCGCTGTCACCGTCCGTGAGTTTTTTTCCCCGAAAGGTCAAGGCCCGCCGCTCGCGCACTCTGTCTGCGCATGCGCATCCCAACGACTGACCCCCTCCGTCCGCTCCCGGGAGGTTATAGTATGACGTGTTCTGACGTCACTCTCTCTCTCCCTGTCATTTATTTGGCTCGAAACACATATTAACAAATTGCTCAGTGATGAACAACTACTCAGATCATTTACCTAAGCTGTGCTTTGTCAAAACGAAGTGTGTGTTCATTACACTGACATTCTGTTCTGCAATTGTTATTTACTTGTATTTATAATTTGACTTTACATACTGCTGGGTGGTTTGTAAAGTTTACAATAACTAGTATTATCATTATGCTATTTTCAAAATAATATCTAAAGTATCTGAAAATAAATAAATAGATGAATTAACATCATCACAGACAGTACGGGCAACAATGCGCATCTCAAGTGCAGGATAGATATTATTAATTTTATATATCCATTAGTATGTTATAAATAAAGACAGTTTAATGTGTTGTTTAGTTAACAATATTCAAATTGGAGGGGGTGCTTATAGTGCAGATAAGTCTAAGTCATGTCTCTATCCAGTAAGTGTTTAGTGATGATTGATACGTAAATAAATATATTATTTATCTCCCTTCATACTGTTACTGTTTATATTACTTATATTAACTGTTGCTGATGTTCACACGGTTAGTTAAACCCAATTCTAATTGTTGTGTGGTTGGACGTGCGGCTTGTGTGTGGCTTGTGTGGGGGGGGCGGTCCTAGTGGTCTTTCAGGCTATTGGCCTCTCCACCCCGTGCCCTAGTATCGAATTCTTTAAGCAAATATTTCTAGCTTTTATATTGAATATTCAGTTTCCTACCATCTTCTCTTAAAGGGTAATTGCCAGGTATCCCGTCCTCTCCCTTCGCACACACATGCACACAAAGAAAACACACAGTATAATTCACAGCCTCATTATAGTGAATAAATATTTATGCCATTTACACCATCAAACTTAGATTGCTAAGGATGAAGAACCTTTTGTTCTTTAAAGAACCATTTGTAATAGCTGAAGAACCATCCACAAAATAAAAAGGTTCTTTGACGTATGATGGTTCTTTAAAGAACCATGAAGC